GATATCCCTCGCCACTGCCGACGCTGCTGCGTGTATATTCGCGGTGGTGCTGTGTGGCCCTCCAATGTGTCTGTCGGGTTGTACCGCGTATTTTTCGACACGATGTCCGATATTCGTGTCCCTGAAGAAGCTCCCAGCACGCGGAGTGAAACGTCGGGCATAAAACACGTGTGTTGCAATCAGAGAGCGTAACGGGAGAGCTTTATTCGTCGCCGATGCTATCCGTAGCCGAAAAATCTAATGCACGTGGCCGAGACCTTAAAGTAGTGCGCTTACCACTTTGCCACCGCTCCTGACACTCTCACAAGTGCAGGATAGTGTGCTACATAAAATAAATGAATGGCTTCATGAGCAGGGGAGATCTGGGGTTTCCCTTCCGTAAGGGAGATCTGTACTCTTTGTTTCGTTCGGTAAAGTCGCGTAGGTAGAAATAAAATAAAATAAATCACGACGTTTCGAACGCAACACAACCGTTCGTCTTACCCACGTGACTTTACCGAAAGAACCAAAGAGTATGCATTCCTGCAGTCACGAAAGCTTCGAATCTAGGGAGATCTGGTTATTGGGGAAAATCACCATGGCAACATCGTCCCCTACTGGCAGACTATACCCATTTGTAAGCCGGTGCTGCGTTATGGCTTGTGCCGCGTAGGGATGGCTGTCACTGGGGGTTCCCCGAGGCTAGACCTCCCACAGGACAATGGAATGGTTGAGTTGGGATATGATGTAAGGTGCTTTGAGATGCTGACGCATTTTAGCAGGCCCACAATAGATTAAACAAATGGTATGGTGACGCTTCTGCTGCATTGACAGTGGTGACACGAAAATTATGATAATGATGGTCATGACGATGATGATGATGATGATGATAATGTTGATGACAATTATCATGATAATAACAATGCTGATTATGATCATGATGACGACGGACGTGACTATGATGATGATGGTGGTGATGGTGGTCACGACAATGACTACAACGACAATGATGATGATGTAGCGACGCTGCTCTCGCTGGGGCCGGGAGCAGCGGAGGAGGAGGAGGAGGAGGTGGTGGTGCCTCCTCCACGCGGAGCGAGGAATGCGGGAGGAGGCAACAGCTGCGTGTCCGCCACTCCGCCGGGAGAGAGGCTTTTTATAGCGGCGCGGGCTTGTGGCGGACACGCGGCTCCTGCCTGCCCCAACCCCACGCCTGGAGCGGCGGTCCGTACGGACAAATACAGATCCCTCATCACGTCTCCACAATCCTGGATCCATTCTGAATAATTTCAGGAATCCTGGGTCCCTCCTGATTCATCTCAGGAATCCAGGATCCCCGCTGTTTAATCTTAAGGATCACTTCTGTTTCACATCAATAAATTCTGGTTCCCTCCTGATTCACACACCGCCATAAGAAATAACTTTGGCCAATGAGACTAATCATCCTCATCATCAGCCATCGTCAATCCACTGCTGGATGACGGCCTCCCCAAGTTGTCACCATCTCCCATGATCCTGCGATGTGATAATCTACCCGGCGCACCTGCACAAGGACCGTGCTCACCGCTCCATCTCCACAGCAGAATACCTTTCGGGCACGTTCCAGGGATCTAAAAAAAAGCCCTGCAATTGTTCAGCTCACTCCACTGCTGGCAGAAGGAGCCTCCGCTCGAGGCAGCTCCCGAGAGGGCCCCTCTAGAGGGTATTTTCGCCTACTCTTCCCACGGTGGCCAAACTTCTTGGAAGAGGTGGGGGTACCCACAGTTAACCCCACCACACACCACCTGCCCGCTGATCGACTAGCTGTCGTGGGTGCACCCATTCGTTATACTGTACTGCTGGCTGGTCAGAGTCCAACAACAGGCGATAGGATTTCAAAAAGTGTCCCTCTCGTTTCAACCGCCGCGCTGGGAGATCGAATCGAGCCGGCGAGCTCTGGATTTGTAAATTCGGCGCCTGGTGACATATATTCAGTCTTGCTTCATCACCGGACCACAGCGGTAATTTGTGTCTGGAAGCTACCTTTAAGTCAGCACGCGGACAATGCGTTTGAGGGTTCACCTAAAGCAGATTCGAAAGGTGGTCCGGGGGTTATTCTTGTGAGAGAGTGAGGAGCAGACCTCAATTAGCGGCGAGGGTTTGAAGCGGGATTCAATTTCTTAGTCCACACACATACACACACACACAGAGATTTCGACACAGACGGACGTGCACATACACACGCGCAGATGCATCGGCAGTGACCATACCCATTCAGACATACAGAGACGCACAGATGCACGTACGTGTATACATACACACAGATACGTACATGCATAGACACATACACGATTGTACATACACACGTAAACGTACACATATACATTAACAAAATACATACACAACCAACCCTATCACAGACACATAGTTTACACAAATACACAAACATATACAAAGGCAAAGGTCCTACGTATAGCCTTTAAGAACCTGTTGGGGCAAGTCCTGTTAGCGAGCACCTATGAAGAACGGCACGGCACACGAGGGGGTATGTGGCCAGCAGCCCGCCCGCCCGCCTTTGTCTCCCTAGTGCCGATATTTACACATCGCGCCAGGTACTTATTTTAGGCTGAGTCGACCTAGGAGAGGCTCAGGACACGTTCAGATAATCATCACTGATGTTGGGCGCGAGCGGAAATCGAACTTGGGTGGCCGGGTTCATAACGCAGCGCACCAACCACGCCACAGACGCACACACGTGCACTCAAAATCTCCGCCGCAGTCCTACGGGACTATCCTCGTTGTTAGCGAGCGCTTATTTTTAACAGAGGTACGCGTCCTCAGCTTGCCTAACGCGGCTCCCGTAAACACGAGACCTTAAAGGGCTCTCGCTCTGCTCTGAGGAAGGGCCATTGCCCTGAAACGTCACCTACCACGTGCATTCTTTCTAGGGCAGCGTTATTGACGAATGGCGTTGATATTTGTGCTTGTGCACCACTGGCAAGGACTACGGTTGGAGATTTCCGTAAGCATGTTAGGAGTAAAGGTTTGAGTTCCCATTCGGATGATCGTTATCGCCAAGGGTTATTGTTTTTATTTGGAGTTTGAGTTTGGGTACTAATCTTTGGCGAGGGCTGAGTTCAGGAGTTTGTTCATATTTATCCTGAGCCTTTACTCTTGCATCATCGTTTGAAAAAAATCATACTACTATTAAAATAATCAATACCTTGAATGTCTTGGCTGTCTGCTGACTGGGCTCCTCTATACCCCAACAATAACTCTCTTGTTAGTTGCTACAGGCCGTTGCCACTGAAACTGAGTAACTGGCTAATCTGGATTTTCCTTGCAACAAATACACATTGAGTTTAAACTAGAAGAAGTTCAGCCGACGTATAACGCTGTGTAACAAAAAAACTAATTTTGTTCCTGGATAGTGTTATTTACTAATTGTTTATGCCTAAAAAGTTTATCAAATGGCTATTATTCCCCACAAACTTTGCTTTTGTGACCAGGACACAAAATCAAAGTTAATAATCCACTCCGTTAATAACACTGTGTTACAAATTATTCTTTTTTGGTCCTGGGTAGTAAGTGTTATTTCCTAATTGCTTATCCTTCAAAAGTACAGAAAATGGCTATTATTCCCCACAAACTTTGCTTTTGTGACGAGGACATTGATATTTTTTTTAATTTAACTATTTTCAATGAGAAAACGTGTGAATCTGTGTCATTCCTTCACATAAAGTCCTGGTCACAAAAGCAAAGTTTGTGGGGAATAATAGCCAATTTATATACTTTTTAGGCATACACAATAAAAAAAATAAGACCTACTACCCAGGGACAAAAATCGTGTTACATAGTTTAATAGATAGCGACATCGAAGAGGTGGAAGTAACGAATACAAAAGACTTACCACGGTTCATTTACAATTTCTAAAACTTTTTAAATTGTGCTCCGATTAGTGTGGAATTATTTTTCCAGTATATTCTTTAAATCCTAGAGAATTAAAAAAAAACCCTCACAATACGTATATTCTTAGCATTTTAAGCCGTGAAAAAAAAAGCCAATTACTGGCAGGGATGATTGTTCGGCGAGTACACACACGATATGTCTCTCATTTTCCGTCGCAGAACACGAGGGCGTTCGCTACTCGTTACGTTTTGACAATTCCCCCACCCCTACACAGTTCAATTCCCTACTGGGGCGCTGTAAATGAAGAGAAAGGCTTCCCAATTGGGCCTCGGGATAAGGCGAAACGACTGGCGCGACCGCGTCTCGGAGGGTCTGCAAACAATCCAACAAAAACGTGCACCCCGCACAGAGGGCGTTGTGTGTGCAATCCAGGACAGCGAGCTCGTGAAAGGCGGCCCGCGACGATCAAAACGATGAAATATAGCGGGTGGACGCGTGGGGCATGGTGGGATGACTTTTGGAAGAGCGAACAGTCACCACAGCAACAATGAGGCGAACAAAAGACGTGATTCATCAGTCCGCACTGCTGCCACCCCCCCCCTCGCCACCAACGCCCGCTACGTAAGACGCGGTTCAATAACATCGCTGTCATCACTGAGCACAAACATAAACGGTGGAACAAACAAAAAAACTGGAGAGTGCTCCCAAGAAGGGTAGAAAGATGCCGCACGCTTTGGAATTACTGTTGAGGGACAGAATGAGCAACACGCGGCTCGGGAGAACATAGCACGCAGGTTAATGGCATCGTTCAAACTGCAAGACAATGAAGCGAGTAGGCCTTGGGCAGGGCACTGCCACGGCGAGAAGGGCCGATGGACGATGGTCAAGAGGAATGACCGGATGAGGGCCAAGGAACGGAAGGCGTCTGAGAAGGGTGCTAGGCGGGAATGAGATGGCGGCAGCTTAGGAAGGGCTTTCATCCAGCAGTGGATTGACCGTGGCTGATGATGACTTTTTTTTCTACTTAATATCGTCTCTCCCACTCACTCCCCTTTCTTCACACCTCCACGTTTAGTATCTCCTACCCCCCCCCCCCCCCCCACTAGTGAAATGGTATAGTCCACGCCACTGACCAGTATGTGGTTGATCTTGTTGGTGTCGTCCTCCGCGTAGGGGTGGTAGATGGCGAGCGCCACGCAGTTGGCGAATATCGTGATGAGGATGAGGATGTCGAAGGGCCCGCAGAGAGGAGAGGTCAAGGAAGCAACTCAAAACGTAAAACCATGACCTCATGACCTTTGATTTAAAGTTGACAGTGTGGTCCAAATTCCAGTCCGCCTGACCACGCGTTATGCGCGTGCGGACCTTGTCAATCCAATGCTGGACGAAGGCCTTCCTACGCCGTGTCGGTCGTGTGGTGTTTGTTTGACCACGCTGGTCGGTTCCGATTTGGTGACGGGTGGGTGCCCTGGGCCGGTTCAGATGTCGCTCGCCACTGATGTTAGCCGTGGCCAGGAATCAAAACTCGGATTGCAAGGATTCACTGCGCAGTGCGCCAAACACTGCACCACCGCTCTACCCCCGTCCACGTTTACCAAGCGTCAGTCCTCTGTAAAGTACAATTGCTCACTGTGTTGGCAGGGGGGAAGCGAGTTTTAGGCAATGGGAGCAGCAGAGGAGAATGAGCGACCCCCCTACTGAGCGAATACTCTGACCGTGGTGGGTCGCGAGGACCGGAATGTGCAAACCCCTGGATTGCAAGTAGACACGACCCAAAACTACTAATCAGCGCTTGTAGCAGCTACACACCCAGGCTGAGTGTCTTAGTGAGATAAGAGGTAAGTGCGGGTGATTGCAGGTCAGTGTGGCGAGTGTCCTTTCCAAGTGTGTGTTCGAGTGTGGTGAGTGTGGCGAGTGCAGGGTGAGTGTCCTGTCCACGCGCTCACTAACACCTCGACAGGGGACGTCCTGTCGAGGTGTTAGTGAGCGCGGGTGAGTGCCGGTGAGTTTCGGTTTCTGTGGATGAGCGAAAGTGAGCGCGGTGAGTGAGTGACAGCGAGCACAGAGGGACGACCAGACGAGTGCGTGGTGAGTGTGTGGTGAGCGCGGGGGTGGCTGTGTAATGCGACTTTGATGACTGTGGTGAGCGCGGGGGTGGCTGTGTAATGCGACTTAGATGACTGGTGAGTGCGGGCGAGCAGTGGTCCGGTTAAAGCTGAGAGTGTCGGTCGTTGGTTGCGGAATGTTGGGTCCCGTTCGTTGTGTCGGCGGGGTCAGTGTTGGTGAGCAGTGAGCGCGGGTGAGGAGAGAAGTGGGTGGTGGTGGTGAGTTTGCAAGGACTACGTTCCCCCCGCAGGGATACTTCCACTCGACGAGGTTGATGCAGGCCTTGCGGATGGGGTTGCTGAGCGTGAGGCAGAAGAGGGCCCGCGGTGGCCTGATGTCCTGCTGCACCTTCTTCTTCTTGAGCTCCTGCCTCCGGCGGAGGAACGCCTCTGTGTCCACCTCCACCTCGACCGCCTCGATCACCCCGTCCGCGTACATCTTCTCGGCCATGTTAATTACCACTCTGACCACCCACTTATCTTCTTACTCACCCAGGGCAAACCACACAATAACAAAAAAGGCGATGAGAACCCCTCTGTCCGACGGTGGATGGCGGAGGCTCCGTAAGGCGCGACTCTCACCACCTCCCCCCCCCCCACCCCACTCCTCCTCCACGCGCGACCAGGGATAGAGGAGCTCCTCGCCGGCGGCCGGGGCTGCTTGCTGGGGTTGCCGCGGGGGTGTCGACGCTGGACTGGGGGGGGAGGAAGGAGGTTCTGGGTGTCTGGGTGTTCAAGTTAGAGCCCTGGAAAGGGGGGTGGGGAGGTTAGGGGGTCGATCTGGCTGGGTGATGTCCCCTTGCCCGTTGTCAGCCCCAATTGGTCGCTATAAAAAGCCTTCTCACGAGGGTGGTGGTGGTGGGGGAGGAGGAGGAGGAGGTTCTACTCACCGCCCATATTTTTCCTTCTGGCTCGTGGTCAGCTGTGAATTAATTGATGCCGTGACGAGGTGGACAGGCGTGTGTGGATTATTATAATCGTAGGCAGATGAGGCCAGTAGCGTTATCGGTTTCAGCGTCGGTGTGCGCGAACGGTGGTTAGGGTAATAACTAAAGTAGTGTTGGAAGTTTTGAAGTGTTATGAAATTATCGTTTTGTTTTAGTAGCAGCAGCATCACCATCGGAAGCAGCAGTAGTTTTTTCATCAACGGTAGCAACAGTGGCAATAGAATGATGTATCAGTAGCAGCAACAGCATCATCACCAACAACATCAGCAGCAGCAGCAGTCGCATCTGACACTTGTTTGTGCGTGACATTGTTCTACGAATTGTTTAAAGAACGTAATCGTGTGTAAATTAATCGGCTTACAGCTCCATGGTCAAATCCACTGCTGGATGAAGGCCTCCCCATGGCCGTGTCAATCATGACTCGTTTGCGGGTTTGGTGATAGTTGCTGCGGCGATCCAGGACCGGCAAAAGGAGATAATCGTCACTCGCCACTGGTATTAGCCGTGGCTGGGAATCGAACTCAGTGCTACCCCGTGTAAATGAATTCAGCATTTTTGTTAATTACCTCCTGAGATTCTATTAATTTGCCTGGTGGCGGTGGCGCGCACGCCTGCGGAGGCGAGGGTTGGTGGTTCACTCCCAATCCCCACGTGGGTGTCGTGGAGGTGTCATAACCCTGCCTCGCCAGGATGAAGGCAGTAACGTGTGAACTCCAGTGTATCTGTTCTGTCTGTATGGGATAGAGTGTTGTTCGTTGGGGGGGGGGGGGGGGGTTTCCGGGTGCTCCGATTACGTCGATTGTGCAGAAAACATCGTAATATATAGGGGATCGCAGAGCTTGGGCATAATTGCCGACAACCCCGGTTCGTCGCGTGCATGCTCTTCCTGCGTGTCGCCCTCTCGCGCCTCTGAGTCGTTTTCTCTCTCTACGAGATAGAGTGAATAACTTGTACGGCGAGTCACAAGTTAAAATTATTATCGTCGTTATTACAAATAAGTGTCTCCAGTAGTTGAGATCTGGGAACACACTCGAGAGATAATGTGGGGCATGACCAATGCTGTCGTGTTCAAAAGTGAACACATTGCCTCGTGGTGATGCTGCCACTGAGTTGACCGTGGTGCACAAGCACAATAAAAAAAATTAAAACTCCACATTCACTGTCAACGACACTGGCGCTAAACGGAAAAAAATAGGCTACATTTCGTTTACGTACTATGAAGGACCATTGCCCGAAACGTTGCCTTTTAGACTATATTTTTCCTTTTTAGGCCGCAGTGTTATTAACGAATGTGTTGAGTTTATTATGACTAGACTTGTTTATTATGACTAGACTTGCCCGCCTTATTCTCGCTCCTGTGGAGGGAATTCTCGCCCCCATCACTGATGTCCTCTTTCCTCCCCCACCATGTGTGCAGATACTACTGACTATAGTAGTCTAGTAGTATCTGCTGACTCTACAGTAGATACTACTGACTCTACAGTAGATACTACTGACTCTATAGTAGATACTACTGACTCTATAGTAGTATCTATTGACTCTACAGTAGATACTACTGACTCTATAGTAGTATCTACTGACTCTATAGTATATACTACTGACTCTATAGTAGTATCTACTGACTCTAGTAGACACTACTGACTCTATAGTAGTCTAGTAGTACCTACTGACTCTATAGTAGTATCTACTGATTCTATAGTAGTATCTACTGATTCTACAGTAGATACTACCGACTCTATAGTAGATACTACCGACTCTATAGTAGTATCTACTGACTCTACAGTAGATACTACTACTGACTCTACAGTAGATACTAGCGACTCTATAGTAGTATCTACTTACTCTATAGTAGTATCTACTGACTCTATATTAGAGACTACTGACTATAGTAGTATCTATTGATTCTATAGTAGATGCTACCAACTCTATAGTGGTATAGTAGTATTACTTACTCTATAGGAGTATCTTTACTGTATGTAGGGTGTGTAGGCATATATGCCTATAAAATATACTTTTTTGGGGGGGGTCGACAATTTTTGGAAACCTGTTGGATCAACTTTTTACCCCCACATCTGGGGGGCGGGGGGGGTGGCGTCCACTTTCTCTAACTTTTTGATTCAGGCCTTCTGAAAGGTTCTATTTTGGTTGGCGGACAAACGGATAAACGGAACCCCAGGCTTATGTAGTAACTATGTTGAGCCACCAGGCGTCGCCAAAGGATCTGTTACTGCAATGGAATCGTATTTACTGATATATTTGCTATGAGGAAGGGACATTGCCCGAAATGCCACCTATTATTATTAGATTTTCCCCTTTCAAGGCCACACACAACGTTAGTGACGAATGTGTTGCCTTTCTATTTATTATTATACCTACAGTAAACATGTATCTGATTATAACAGCAATGTAACATAGGTATCCCCTGAAAGAGATGGATCAATGAAATAAACTCGTGTGCAGGTGCTATGGGTGTGGATTATTATTACATCGCAAGGTTCGTCAGCGACGGCACATGCGTCGGGGTGCCTTCATTCAGCAGTGCATTGACCATGGCCGATGATGATGCCATTTAACGAGCTAACCCACGACTCTCTGTCTTTCCGCCGATTTCAACCAATTTACCTCCTTTCAAATACTCAGTTAAACATGGAATGTTGCCCTAACGTTGGGCCAATATTGTCCCAAAGTTGGGCCAACAGTTCCAACCACGTGCCACTGTCCCAATGTTGAATGTTTACTGAGTACATATTAAGTCGTTAAATGCTGCACGTGCTTAATGATTGTGAGACACATACCACCTGCTAAATAATGCCTGATTTGTGTTTGTAATAATTAAAATCGTTAGTTTGTGCGCGTTATTATTCAGTGGCTTAATGTTGCTAAATGTATGAATACTTTGATGACAATCTTATAGCCTCAATCTACAAACATAAATGTGTTTGTTCGATTTAAAGCTTTCGTGACTGCAGTGATTCATCTTCTTTGGTTCTTTCGGTAAAGTCACGTAGAATGAGAATAAAATAATAAAATAAAATAACACAATAAAATTCTCACGACGTTTCGGCCACAACACAAGTGGCCTTCTTCAGATGAAAGGAACAGACCTGTCGGGACGACAGAGATAATTTTATTGTGTTATTTTTTATTGTATTCTCATTCTACGTGACTTTACCGAAAGAACCAAAGAAGGTGTTTATGTTTGTGAAAATTTCTTGCTGTGGTTTTCCCACCTGATGATGATTGCTTGTGTTGCAATCGAAACGTCGTGATTTAATTTATTTTATTTTATACCTACGTGACTTTACCGAAAGAACCAAAGAGTATGGATCCCTGCAGTCACGAAAACTTCAAATCTAGATTGAATAAATGTGTTTAGCCATACTTCACCACGCTGGTCAGTGCAGGTTTGGTTACGTTTTGTAGCGGTGGTGGGTCGATAGCACACTACGCAATGAACCCTTGCAGGCTGAGTTCGATTTTCGGCCAGGGCCAAAATCAGTTGCGAGTGATATCTGAATCGGTCTTTGATATCTGAATAGTTTGTGACCGGTATCTGCGGTGCTTCTATGTGGTGGGCAGTAGAAGAAAGTCCAGCAAAAATATATTACTTTACTGTACTACTACACTTCCAGGTCTATGTCCCCTGCCTTCAAATAAACACTGACCAGTGTATTGGAAGTGTTCTAAAAAAAAACAACCCATGACTGAAACGACATGGTGAGGCATTCATCCAAAAATGAACTGACAAAGGACGAAAATATATAATTATATATCTTCCATATATAAATGTATAGCTGTCATCGGCTAGGCTGACAGTGTATAAAATGTAATTGATTTCTTGCAGGCAGAGAATCAAACACTGATGTTGCCTGAACTTGAATTAAATGAACAGTGCCAACAAATCTTTTTTTTTTTTGCCAGGTTTCAATTTTAGTTGGGTCATATTTCTGGCTTGGGCTTATCCGTGAAAAATCCTTGGCTTTGATTAATTGTGCCTGCTGTGTCTGTGCTGCCGCTGGAACACACCGTGGCTTGCTTTTCACGGGAGTCTGAAACAAACCCCCCCAAAAAACGATGTATTTTTTGTTCCATCTTCAAAGTGGAAAAACGCATTGCCACATAAAATAACACTCTCGCGATTCATCAGCAGCAGCCGTGATCTATTCACTGCTGCATGAAGGCCTCCCCAAGCCGTCGCCATCTCCCAAGGTCATGTGATGCATTCTGCTTCTTGCACGAGTTAAATTCTTTCCTCCATCTCCATGTTCTCTCAGGTGTGATCCCTCCTTTAGTTGCCATGCCATCATTTGTCTCAACCTCCGGCCATCATCTCTCCAAGCGACGTGTCCTGAAAAAGCTCAACTTCTATTTTCTTAAATATGTCCTGAACACTCATATTTTATGTGATGCACGCGTTCCTCTTTTGTGTCTCACATTAACAACAAGCATATGTACGTCTATCCATGCTTCTTTGCAGCCTATTCAATTTTGGCTCAATTTTTTTGTCCTAATTCATATATCTGATCCATATGTCATAGCCACATTGGTACGTTTATTTTCATTGCTAAAATCGTTTTTTTTCTTTCCCGAAACCACTCCAACCTGCTTTCGCCCGCGTAAATAGTTCATTTAAAAAAAAATTCTGGTCTTCCTTAAATAACCGCCCAAGGTATTCCTCCGATGATTTGTTTTTTTACAGTTTCATTTGCCAATGCAGATGCAAATTTCCAAGGCATACAACAGTCAGCGAGGTAAAATTGCTGTAGGTAGGATCATAACTTA